GCGTGAAATACTAGGTAGATGTCTGTTAGGTCCATTTGATATATGGTGTTGTTTAATTCAGATGTCTCTCTGTTAACTCTCTGCCCTGTTGACCTATCTAATGGAGACAGTGGGGTATTGAAGTTCCCTACTATTAATGAGTTGGGATTAATCTGGGTCTTAAAGTCCTGTAGTATTGTTTTTATGACGTTGGGTGCACCAGAGTTTGGTGAATATATGTTCATGATTATAATATCTTCTTGAGGGGTTGGGGATTTCGCTCAAGGCCCTGGGTTCAGTCCTCAGCTCAAAAAAAAAAAAAAGACAAAATATAATATCTTTTTTTGTTTATTGTTCCTTTAATCAGAATGAAGTGGCCCTCTTTATCTCTTCTGCTTAGTTTTAGTTTAAAAGTTTATTTTGTCAGATATTAGAATTGCAATGCCCGCTTTTTTCTTAGTACCATTCATTTGGTATATTTTTTTCCACCCTTTCACCTTAAGGTAGCACCTATCCTTGAAAGTGAGATGAGTTTCTTGTAGACAACAAAAAGATGGGTTTTGTTTTTTTCTATTTTTTTTCTTTTTTTTTGAGACAGGGTCTCCTTGTAGCCCCAGCTGTCCTAGAACTCACTATGTAGACCAGGCTGGCCTCAAACTCACAAAGATCCGCCTGCCTCTGCCTCCCAAGGGCTGGGATCAAAGGCATGCGCCACCATGCCTGGCAGCATTTTGTTTCTTAATCCATTCACCTAGTCTGTGTCTTTTGACTGGGGAGTTCAGTCTGTTAATATTTAACAATATTAATGAAAGATGTGATTGAATACTGTCATTTTTATTTCTGTTCACATACTTGATATAGCCGTACCTTTCCACAGTTATACCTTTATTGAATTTCTTTCTGCAACCCCTTGGGTAGAGTCGTTCCCTTCTTCAGCTCTTTGTATTGTTTCAAGAACTCTTTGAAGGTCTAGTTTTGTGGACATGAATTCCTTCATCCTATTTATGTCATGGAAGATTTTTCTTTCACCTTTGACTATAATAGACATTTTGGCTGGGTATAGCAATCTGGGTTGGCATCTGTGGTCATTTAAAACTTGGAATACTTTGGTCAGGCTCTTCTGGCTTTCATAGTTTGCACTAAAAAGTCAGCTGCAATCCTAATGGGTTTTCCTTTATATGTGACTTGTTTTTCTTTTGCAGCTTTCAGTACTGTCTCTTTGTTCTGTATCTTTAGTGTTTTTACTATAATGTGTCGTGGAGAGTTTCTTTTCTGGTCCTGTCTGTTTGGTGTTCTATATGCTTCTTGTATTTGTATGGGCATGTCTTTCTTTAAGTTTGGGAAATTTTCTTCCACAATTCTGTTGAAGATCTGGTCCATGCCATTGTCTTGGGATTCTTCTCCTTCTTGTATGCCTATGATTTGCAAGTTTGGTCTTTTTATGGTGTCACACAATTCCTGCACATTCCATTCTTGTGTTTTCTTAAATTTTTCATAATCTTTGCTTGAGTGGTCTAGTTCATCCACTTTATCTTCCAGTCTTGATATTCTGTTTTCCATTTCCATCATCCTATTGGTGAGGCTTTTTCCTGTCATTTCTAATTGTCTTACTGAGTGATTCACTTCCTTCTTTAATATTCCTAGCTCTTTTCTGATTTCATTCAGAAGTTTATCCCTATCTTCCTTCAGCTCTATGATTACCTTGTTTGTGTGTTCTTTAAATTCACTGAATTCTTTTATCATATTCATCATTGTTCTTTTGAGTTCCATGTCCTGCATTGTCTCTAGGGGATTCTCATTGTGCTCCTCTAGAGGATTACTGGAATTTGGTGGGGATATGTTATTTTAGTTTTTCATGTTATTATTTTTTCTCTGTGATTTTGACATGTGAATTTCTTTTGTAGTTTCTGACTCTT